CCACGATGACATATCATCTAAGAATCTATGTAACTACACTATTATACACGAACGTTTCTCACTCATTTTCTCATGAGAGGCCGTGAATGAGGACCCGAAATGAACACAAGGGTGTACGAGATAAAGGAAATTTCTAGTTTCCCATTACCTACATCACCCGCAACGAAGAGAGTAATACTTTGCAACCACCCATCGCTACTCGACCAATTTCCGCGCAGTGATTGAATTTTGACCCCGCACACCGGGCCCAGGTCGCAATTAACCCACTTCGGAAAGCGACTAGGCGCGAATAATACATCATTGTCGTCGGGGTAGATTCGTCAGGTGCTCCTTTCTCTCGCGAGGAGCAGGCCATTTCACTGCGAACGCCGACGACGTAAAAAAGGGAGAGAAGGTCGGTCTCCCCCCTATCTCTCTCTCTCTCCCTCTTTCACCCCAAGAGCACTGTTACCACACACACGTTCAACAATATCCTCGACAATATCGATCTTGTCTGCATTGCTATTTTAGAGTAGTACATAGCAAAAAATCAGGTTCAAGAATATTCAGTGGAGATTAAATTTGCCGTGAGACTTCTAAAGTAAATTATGATACTAATATTGTGAAAGAGTCGGAAGGCGTTCCATTTTTTCAATAAGTGAACGTGACCTATGTGTAAGATAATCTATTTGAGCCCAGGAATTTCGAGATCTAACGATTTAAAATTGTAAAGGATAACTTCACCAAAGGAAAAAAATGCCAGGGTTTTAGTTTAATAATTATAGTGATTGTTGTATTAACTTTCAATTCAGAAAAAGTTAACACATTTATAATTAACGTTAAAATTGGGATAACAATTTTTTGACTGCGGATTATTGTTTATTGATGTATCCCAAACATTACATGAATTTTCTCATTCCTTAATATTTATATTCAATTTGTTTAAATAATTTTTTTTGTTTTTATGTCAGAGTGACGAAAGGCGCGCGAAAGCCAGACTACCCGCTTTTGGATCTATTTTCAGGGCTCTGTAAAAATTATAAATAATCGATCTTGTCAAATCTTTCTTCAAATTTCCAAAATTTTGAAAATTTTCCGAGATATTGAGTAAAAACTAAAGCCCAAATTTTTTTCACTTAATTGTTTATAACTTTTGTAATTTTTATCGGCGCGTTTTCGGACCTTTCCTCAAACTTTCTAGGCAAAAATACGAATCGAATGACACCTCGGTCGTAATTTTTGGACAGGGCTGAAAAATGTTACAAAAAAAAGTACATGTGAACTAGACTACTGCACTAGTTGATGCCTCCTGAAATTGACGCCAGCCTATATTAAGAATTAGTTTTTGTGATAATGTAAAGAGCTCATAAAAGCTACTCAAAATCGATTTTTAATATTGTTTCACCAATAGAAACCTACAGTATATATAGGATAGAGAAAATAACTTTTGTCTACCTAACTTATATTTAACTAGTATTTCAACAAATTTCCTTAACTATTACCACGCTGAATATTACTTTCATCTTGCGGAGATTTGTGTAATCTAAGTTGAAATTTAGTTTTACAAACCAAACATGTAGATATGGCTTTGGAAGATCCCTGTACTTATTTCAATGACTGCCATTTCATTGATAAGGAAATTAAGTAGAATGTTCAACGAAAGTCATTTTTTGTGGAGGAAAATCAGTTTTTCATCGACCGTTTTTGGGTAAACTAAAAAGTTTGCCCTTTCTTCACTTGTATAAAGTTCTCCATTATAATTTTTATATTTTTCAATATATTAGACACATTTTTAATGATATCCAACTTCATTCAGGATATTGGAAAAGGATGTCACATACTTAGGGTTGTTATTTTTCGAAAAATCGATACTTCAGATGTAATTTATACAAACACCTTGTATTTTGACCAACTGCTACACCGTTTTACAAATAGTAGAAATTTGAAGAATAAATTGGTTGACACTGTTTGATCTACCTTGTATAAGACATATTTTCGAATACAATAAGCATTAATTTTCAATGTTTTATAGATAACTTATGAATTCTGGCACACCTCAATTATTTTAGTAGATATTGGTGAACATTCCAACCGATATTTGGTAGAATCGTGATTCACCGCTTGATCCAGTTATCACAAAGTTACAAATAACAAGTTCAAGTACCGATAAAGTTGCTTTAAAATTGATGACATCACAATTTTTATCAGACACGACAGAGAAAAGTGTTGCCACTCTGATCCACAAAACATAGAATTGAATAAAACAAATAGGTACTCAAATATAATTTCACTGAAGATTTTTATTTGAATATGAATACCCTATATATATATACGTATTCAGATAACAGGTAGCCAAGTTACAACACATGCTTAACTATACAATGAGTTCCTCGAGCATATCTAATGGAGTAAAAAATATAATATAGTATACTGTTTCAACCATAAAAGTCCATAAAAAATGTAGAATTTTCAATGACTTGACATAATTTTCGAAAACATCCCTAAGTTCAGTACAATGATTTGGAATTTGTAACCTAATTATGAAATGTTTCTTCAGTTCAAGCTCAAATCGATACTAAGTGAATTCTAAACCAATAAAATCCAATATTCAACATTCCACTTTATTCTCTTGCCAGAACGTCTGGACACTTCCCAATTTGTACTAAATTCTCTTTTGCTGCAATGGCATTTTCATATTCAGACTCAAAAGACTGAAATGTGTAAAAAATAAATATTCGAATGAGGATGCGATCTTCAAAACCCGTGTCGTTTTGAAATTATTATTAGTATATTACGTACCGAGTGGGATAAGAAGCCAATTAACCACGAGCGAGTGGACTCAATTGGCATTATCCTCGAGGTGCGTACTATATTTTTTCTACGAATGACCGTAGAAAGGAATGGTACAATATATTTGTTTGAGATGATGGCTTTCGATTTTAAACTCATCAGTCAGTCAGAACTCAATTAAATGATTTAAAAATTGCTGACAATATTTCCTACAAATTAATCGGGTTCATTTTTGTTATAAGTTTTTGCTGAACCTTCGAAACAAACGAGAACGTTTTCGGAAAACGAAGTTGTTTTTCTTTTCACTCCAACACATACAATTTTCGAAATTGTATTCGTATTTTTCTCTCGATTTTACTGGCAGCAAATTATTCATCGCAATATTTATTTGCTAGGTAATATCTGGTGGGGTAGCACAAATTTCTTGATCGTTATCACTATGACAGCTTACAATTAAGTGGTTGTTGATTCTCGGATATAACTAGACTAATTACCTACCCACAAACTGATGAACAATAAATTTACTGAAAATATGATTTAGATTTCGATTTTACAGAGAATTAGTAGAGAAAATTTACTGATTTTGGCTCTTGGGCAATTGAATGTATTCATGAAATCATATTTATATCAGAGTAAATGTTACATATCTCATCATTTTTTGAAATTTCTCACGGAAGTAGCCGCCATTAATTTAAAATACACGTGTATTCTAAATGGGCCAATACCTACCTGCTGTCAAATACGTAATGATTTTAAAATGGAGGGGGTAGAAAAAATGATCATTTCAAATACTTAGTAAAGCCACAAACAACCTTGATTTCTAAATGTTTTTTAAATTTACTCAATGTAAAAACCCAACTACATTTGTTACTTTCAATGACCTTATCCTTTTGCGTTTACTTACACCCCAAAGTAAAAAATAAACGTCACAGTAATAGTGACGTTAAAAAACCAGCTAATGAGTATGATAGTTCTAATTCAAGGGCATGGACCACTGAAAAGTAATTTTCAGGGATACATTTTATCGGCGCCATTTGGTTGCATTCCTATTCAGACAAAAGACAAAACTGACATGCCAGCAATAATTTTTCCGAAAGGAAGTACTTTTTCTTAAAACTCTCTGTAGTTTGTGAAAAAAATTACCTCCACGATTTACGACAAAATTTTTTTATATCTATAATTTCAGAAAAACTTAAAAGGTTACCTGAAAATTTAAACAAAACCATATCTACCTTCAACTTTCAAAAATGGATAAAAAAACTTTCGGTAAGGTTGAGAATAAATGAGTATATCACACAGGAATAATCGTAAAATGTATTGACGCCTTCACTCTTAATGGGATGTTAATACCTACTATTTTACAACGAAAGTGACGCATTCCTTGTCACCAATATTCTAATAAAATTGACATAGTTTCAAACGTCAATGATTTGTAAACTCTCGTCCATATTAAATATAAACAAATGGTGCAGTCAGTGGGAACTATTGTTAAACAGGTACAATTTGAGTTTATTACAGAGGCGTTACCCAAATTCTTTATAATGAATTAACAAAGAATCGAAATCACAGGAAGTTGCTTCAATATGGTTACGCAATAATTCATGTGTTCTTATATGGATATGTTGAAGAATGCAAAATTACGCCTTCATACCGGCAGCGTAGGTTGACAATTCGACGAAAAACTGGTTTTCATAAAAATTCTAGCTGGTAGAACATTCCACTAGTACGAACTATTAATATCAGATTAAAATGGTCTTGAAATTATTAAAATTTCTGAGCTATGTCCACAGTGACCAAATTGACAAGGTAGGTATGAAAATCGCCAACTTAATCGATCACTGGGAATATCATTGTTAAGTTTTAATTTTTCAAAAATAACTCAAATATATTAATTACTCTAGAGGGAAGACATAAATCAATGAATAACCCCACGTTACGTTGTTCAGTGATTCATTTCAAAAGAATCTGCAGAAATATCGAGTTACTTTTAACGACGACATTAGAAAGATCGATACTTATATTCTGGACTGACATTTGTAAGTTTGATCGTGGAATGTATTGAACCGTAGAAATAATTTATATAGTTGGCCGTGAAAAAATTTTTAATCGAAATTCTTTGGATTTTTCATTAAACTGTCAGAAATGTCAATAATGGAGCAGCGTCTTATGAAGGACAATTTAGCGGTTTATTATTAATGGGAAAATTTATGATATTACAAAAATTTACTCACCATCGTATCGCTCAGCCTGTTCGGCTAATTTTGCCTTGTACACGTTATCCTCCCTTTCAGACATTTTTGGATGACTTTCGATTTAATTTCACAGCACTTATCACACAAACTCTTTAAACTCTCTCCGTATTGCCAATATGGCCGCGCCCGCCACACTAATACCCGAATCTGATCGAAAAACTTTCGGGTCTTAACGTTTCTTGACGACAGTAAAGAGCGCTAAAATTTGAATTCAATAGCAATTATCTTATCGCTTTCCATTTCTGTTATGATAAATTTGATGATTATTTGGCGACTATTTTTAAACTTTTGAAGGATGAGTAATGACAAATAATTTCATTTTTTTATAAACAGATAAGAATTGTTTTTCATGGCATTCTTTGTATCCGATTTGCCGAAGACTGATATGACCTGAGACACAGTCAAAATCATTTTATGTCTATTTAATTATTCATTTGAATAAATTCAAAACAATTCCATTACTAATCCATTCTAAATGTAGAGCATTTCTATTTGTTGAAGTAATCTACAGAAATATTTCTGTTGAATTCAAGAACTCGCCTGAGCTATTATTGGAAACTTTTGAATAATGACCATGGTCGATGCCAAGTGCTTAACGACTTGAGTGAAAAAAATATAAAAAACGAGTTCTTGAAAATTCTCCGATGTCTTTTTCTACTCGTCCACGTTAACTTTGACACGTTTCTATAGATACAGAAGGAAATTATTAAAAAATTTATATTGAATTTAAGGACTTGCCCAAAGTGAGTGAGTTTACTCGGCAATGGATTCACTCATCAGAAATTTTGAAACATATCTTGAAAACACAATCATAAATCATGGTCGTACTCTGCTCGCTTATGGTCGACGTGAATAAAAACATTCTACGTAATAAGTTCTTTTTTGACGAGTGTCCCGCGACAGTTGAAACTTGGCTCCGTGGATAGAAGGGGAAAATGTTGACCTCACTTTTTGTGGAAATTTTGCCTTCAAATTCAGACTTTAACAGTTCTCATCAGCCAGCCTAGCCTTTCAACCTAACCCAATATATTCACAATCACAGAAATCACATATATCTTAAGACTAGAACGCGTTTTAAATATGGCGGATGAGAGAAATCTGTAATCGCTGAAACACTGTAAATGATCCATTCACAGCGGCGGCACATAAATCAATGTGCGTAAGAAGGGGAGTTGGGTAAAGTTATGCCGATTGCCTCTTCCCCCCGAAATACGTAGCACATTTGTCAGCGGACAATTCGTCGTAATATAATAGATGAAAACGATTTGTACAATTCAAAATATAACAATATCATTCTATAATATTCGAAAAATTATATCTTTTAACATGAGTAAACACTTATTTCGAAATATGAGATCATTGCATTATTTAGACATGGAGTTGTGTGTGAACGACTCATTTCATGTCATGCAACTAAATATTGACATATAAGTTTGATTAGTGTGAATATGGATGAAATTTCTATGCAAACGATTTGTTCAAAATAAAGTAGGTACTCTGAGAAAGCAACTACTTAACACACAAGCGCTTTCTAGACCTAAAAGGTAAATATTAGTTCTGTGAACACAATTCACATTATTCCGAATTGAATATTCCGAAAAATAAAGTTAGTGGGGCCCGTCTATACTTTTGAACAACTGTTGCAATAATTGAGAGAAACTATAAAACAGAGCTCGAGGTGTAAATACATAATTTTTTTTCATTATTCAATAAATCGATTCAATTTCTTGGGTTATTAGGCCAATTACAATTTGGTTATATTTTTATTGATTTCACATATTCTATAAACAATGTAACTATCAGATTGCCCTGAGAAAATTTTAGTTTCATCAGATAAGGTTTAAACACATTTTCTACCAAAGCCGAGACTCGAATACATGTAAATAGATTGATGTATAACACTGACTTCTTTTAACCAGAGTAGATTATTATTATTGAAGAAAGGATGTTGGAACAAGTGCAAATTTGGTGTTCCATTTGTATTACGGAATTCATGTAATGTCACATTCGAAAATAGCTAGTGCAATCTTACGATTTATATTATAATAATTTTAATATCAACAGTTGTATTCATCAATCATTGTATTCGTGCCAGCATAAGGATGTCTACAGAATGCTGTATAATGTCCGTTGTAGGTAGACCCACTGTGATTCGAAAGTGCGCATATAGATTTTAACGACAAGGAGTCACATTGTCTGCTGCATAATTGTTCATATCTAATCCATCTAGAGGAAATTCGATGGCAACATTTAACTTGCCTCAAAATCTTTCTGTAGAAAATCTTTTTGAATGAATGACTAAAATACAGGGAAACTTATGGATCGATAGATACTTTGTGCATTTTCTTCTTTCCTTGCAAATTGAACACGTCGGTTTTTCATGTCCATCCAAAGCTTCCGCTCATGTGAAAAAATCCAAGCATTGTGATAAACTCAATTAGCCAGTTCTTTGTGGTATGGGGAGTGACAAATCCCAGAAAGAATCGAAGGTTACAGATGAGTGTCCACAATGTGTGCACTTCATCGTGGATTTTAATTGACCAACGAAATTATCTATAATCTTAGAGTTATATGTACTCAAATAAATCAGCCATGACTCTTGTGCTTTTCCGCTTTCGCTCAATTTTTCGTTAATCTCCATTAAGGTCGGTTTAGGTTTCTCAATAATTCTATTAACGTCATCATATAAACCTTCTGAAATATAACGAAGGAACTCCTGGGCGTCTTGATGCACATGACCTATGAATCGAGGGGCAAAACTCTGCATCTGACTTTTTAAGGAGACTGTGTTCACTACTCTATCAGATGAATCTTCTGACCACAATTATTTAATAACTTCTGCGAAAGCACCCTCCGTACTAGAAATATTAGTATCGATATTTTTCATGTACTCATCCTTTTTCAAATATTCCAGTAACCATCTAGTATTTGATAAACATTGGATTACACTATTTACGAAACAGGTGTTGCCAATATTTTTCAACTCATCAAGTTCAAGGGTTTTGACTGAGGAATGTATCACTACTGATCTAATTGTGTTGTAGCTGTTGGTGATACGTTCACCACCGCTGTTTTCTTTCCAGTAATCACAGATGCGATGATTCTTCCCACAATTGGACCAACGGAATGAGGAATTTGAATTGCTTGAAACTGAATCAGATATATTGGTGGTTTTTTCGAATTTTTGAGAGAAGGATAATTCCAGAACTTGTTTGTTTTCCTCTGCATCTTCTGAAACAATTGGGAAATGATCAATTTGCTGACTCCACCTTGCAATGTTCACGGAGTAGACGGAAGAGTACCCAATATTGATGTGGCATTACCCCTTTGAATGGCGATACGGATTCTTTGAATTAAAAATGAATAGGCTCGGTTGTTATTGGAGAATTCATCATTCTTCTACCTCAACAATTCAGAAGCATGAGATCCAAAAACACCAAAGGTTTCAATTGCAACAGGAAAGAAATAGTAGGAACTTAGGAAAGTGGAATATTTCCGAAATTTTGATTTTTCTGCAATCATAGCAGCTGCACCAGTGGAATAAGACGTAGCGACAAGTTGTGAAGCTGCAACTGTATCCACGCAGGTGAAGTCCTAAACCAAAGGTTTTCCAAATTTCCAAGGAATTAGACTCATCGCATCTGGACACTTTCCATCACCTCGACTAACACCAAGGGGTTCAAGAACTGAAGGAACCTCTGCAGTGTCTTGATCAGGTGGTCTTTCAGACCACACAATAGGTCCACTCGAACATATATATATATTGTATGGAGTTGACAGAAAAAACTTAATCACAGTTTGATGGCCAATGAGTCAGAAATGTGTCAATAGTTTGCATTCTCAAGTGTTTTATATTTGACCATGATTTTGAATCAATATAAATAAAAATCAAAGTATTGTTGTTTAAGCAATATATTTATTTACATTATCACATATTAGGAAAAAGCTGTCAATTTCATGTTTGCTTACATAAAGAAGTATATTTACAAAAAAAATATAATATTTACAGGAAATCATACAACATATTTCCGCAAATGAATAAAGTCACCATATAGAGAAAACAAACCACTTTTTTGATACTCTGTATAAACCTTTACCTGTACATTTTTGCCTAATATCCTAGGAGGGAAAGTTAACTTTCAGAAATAAAATTGGTAAAAATCAACTCTCAGATATTGGAATATTATAGGATATAAAAATAGCACTAGAATATAGTTAAAATATATTAGGACAGTCGGACCAGTTTTGTTTTTCTTTAGCCTCCCAATATGTTCCTTTATAAGTATGATGAACTACATCAGAATCGTCTTCCTTAGTTTGTTCAAACCAAATGGGTTGGTATGGTTGATAAGGTCGTCCTATAAGACAGAAAACATCAATTTACTTATTCACGCCAATGAAAATCAATTTTCACCTTCAGTTGACGCCTTTTCTGCTTCAGCCTCTCTCTGCCTTCTCACAGCTCTTTGTTTCTCTTCTATTCTAATCTTCTCTTTGTTCGATTCGTCCCATTTACCCTCTTCCATCAATCTTTGATCAGGTCTTAATCTCGAGTCAGTTGGAGCTACTCCTTCTTCTGGTTCATTTAGTTGAGCAGCAAGTTCAGTGAAATTATAAAATCTGAAAAGAAGAGTTCGTAAATAATGATAATTAGCTCCAGCCGCTCATAGGATAAACAGTCATTTATTAAAGACTCAAGGGAGTTCATCAAAAAAATTGGAGATGTGAAAATAGGTCCTGAAGACATACTAGTGAGCTTCGACGTGGTCTCTTTGTACAGGATAGTTCCGGTCAAGGACCCGATTCAGCTAATTGGCGAAGTATTCCTAGCAGATATAACCGCTCTCTTCGCTCAATGTTCAACATCAACTTCTTTCTAGTGGGATGGTGTTTTTACGAACAAACGGATGTTTTACAGCAATTGGAGTCTCCTTGAGGAACTCTATCGCCTAAAAATGCCTTCAAGGGATGTGGGTACAACGAAGTAGAATTCGAGCGGGCCATACGACCCAGGAGAACGTCAGAGTAACCCCACCTGGACCCGTCAAAGCTTTCCTCCCTTATATTGAAAATGTTACAGATCGGATTGGAAGAATTTTAAAGAAACACGACATGAAACCAATATATAGGTCAACGAAAACTAACAGAGAGAGTCTAAGGTCAGATAAGGACTTAAGAGATAGTCTAAGGTCTGCTAAGACTTCAGTGAGCCTTAAGCAACATCAGGGGTATACCAAATCTTTTGTAGTTGCCGGTTGGTCATTGGAACCATGAAAAGAAGTATCGGTATCCATTTCTTTGAACACAAAAGAAATTGTCCATCCTGGTAAGCTGACAAACATGCTCTCACATTATCTAAATCGAAGATAAATAAAAACTCGACAAAACTAAAAATTACTATCCAATATATAGAAAGGCAATAGACATTCAAAAACACAGGAATAGTTTCAGTAGAAAGGAAAAGGCACAATGATCATTAGTTAAATCTGGCATTGTGGTTTCTAAGTTGTAAACAACTCGAAACTCAACCGTTACTTCATCGTTTTTGTCTAGCGTAGGCAAAACAAAATAATTCAACTTGCTGTGATGCACAAATTGACCTGGTGTGTTTCAACTTACACTGGGAGTATGTGTCAGACAACAGCCTGCTCTTGTACCTCATTGGTCCGACCCTTCTTCAATTATTCAGAGAATCTTTGAGTTATGATTGGTATCCATGTCTTGTTGATGTTTAAGCTGAGAAGAGAAGAATTTTCGAAAAACATGGAGTTAGGGCTATTTTCAAGTCCACAAGAACGACGGAAAATAGTCTCAAGTCAGCAAAAGAACCCAGTAATCCATTTACACCCCATATAAGATAACAACACAAAAAAATCGTTGCATGTAAATAATATTCCCTCACAATGGAAAGTCGCAGTAAAAATAGTTTAGAAAAAGCAATAAATTCAATTAGTACATTTATTGTTGACTATCACATTTTTATAAGAAATATCAGATACCAGATATCACATCAACTTTGGAGAAATGCTGAATTTTAAAATGTGTCTGTGAAATCACATACTCGATGAATATCCCCCACTTTGAAATATATTCAGGAACATCATTGCAGAAATAATGTATTCATCTAAGTGAGGCAGTATTTTGGAACATAATTATGTTAACTGAAAAACAGAAAAGCCCCTTTCTTATTGATCGGTAAAGGAATGTTTTATCATAGAACTGTTTTCCATTTCGTGTTTATGATATTCAGTTCTATTGGGCATTTGAAGTAGCTTGAAGATATTTAAAAACATTTTATATCTGAATATTCAAAGTCAAATCAATCAAGAATATCATTCTTTCTTATAATTGCGAAAGCCTGGAAGATATAGTTCCACGACAAGAAATACTAGTCGACTTCAATGCTACTTCTTTTCCTAATTTACTAACCTTTCAGAATCTTCCGGAGGGGGTCTACGTTTCCAGGCAACAACAGAAGGACCTGTTTGGTAAATTGGATTGCTGCTTGTTCCAGTATTGCCAGTAACAGGAGCAATTTCCACCTGATCATCCCAAGTACCATTTATGATCCACTTTACACTACCAGTGTTGTCCATCACCACGCCCTTCACTCGGCGTTGGGAATCACGGGTGAAATAAGAGTAAGGGATGTATTTGAGATGACAATTTATTCCAGCTGCATTACCCTTACCAATAATTTCCATATCACCTATAAGTTATTGTTTATATAATTATTACCAATTCTATTATTAAAATTTCCAAGGCACATTAATAGTTTATAATCTAGGGAACATTTTTCACAATGAAAGTCAAACGATATTTGGAATATATTGAGCAGAAATGTAAAAAGCTAAATCGACTGAAGAGAGTTCAAAATAAAATGCATTGTTGTACTTACAGCCATTTGTTTTAGAATTGAAAATGCAATATTTTAATTGAAAACGGAAATATTTATTTAGGAGCAATTACTTTTTGGAAAAAACCTTTTGGCTTTCTTCTTTACCATCATTATATGGAAAGTCTAGTTTCAAATCCAGAGTCATAAAATTGGTGACGGTATAAAAGACATTTTTTTCTGAGAGCTGTAAAATTTTATAAAATATTTCTATGCCATACGAAGGATTTTAAAAAATATTTGTTTTCATTGAACAACAACTGAACCAGCTATTTTGTTAGTTTTTGGTCAACTTAAAAAAATATTTGGCTCAAAATGTGCATAAAATATTGACTTCACATCACTGAAAGAGACTCATATGCTTTTGTAGCAATGACAGTTTATAAAAACCATATATTCTTGTAATTATTTTGTTACCATTTAATTGAAAATAGGAATATTTTTTGTAGAAATTAGTTTTTGTGATCTACATATCTTTGTAACGAATTTTTATGAATGTATTCAATTTTTTTTTGTTTCTTTGGAAGTTTTCAACTTTCTATATAGTGATGGAGAAGTAAAAAACCAAAAGGTTTTTTCTCTGATATCTACTAAAAATGTTCCCTTTTCAATTAAACAAATTTTATATTGCTGGGATAGAATTAGTTAGCTGTAATATTTATGAAAGTTTTAGATGATTCATCTTTGTGTTACATGTTTGGACTTCTATTGTCTAAAAGAATTTGAACATGTTTGAAATCTACAAAAAAAAAACAAAAATTCGGATGGTGTACTTGAGAAGGAAATATTATCAATACCATATACCTACCATGAACCTACTGCATAATCTAATTCTTTAATAAACACATTTGAAAACCCCAATTGTTAGTTTTAAATGTCTGAAAACATTCTAAGATTTGACAAAGTAAAATATGTTAGAAAATGTTTTTGAAAAAAAAAATTATAGATTCAAAGTAATAGCACACTTTCAATGATTTTTTATGAAACTCCAAAAGGTGTGATATCATTTTAAATTATTTCCAATACTTACATTATGCTCATGGAAAAATTAAACTCCCATTTTGAATAATTTGTATAGAAAAATACTTGACACAAACACTATACACAAAAATATCAATTTAAATATTTCAGTGTGCAGAATATTAGACAGAGCCATTTCTAATTGGGGTTAAAGTATATCATTACTATATAAAATTAACTAACTGAAAAATATGAAATGCTCACAGTTCATTAGTATTTGTGTAGTAATAAAAACCCTAGAAATTTCTTGAAAAATATCATATAAATAATGAAAACTGTCAATTGGTCTGAAAATCAAAGAAATTGCTGACAATTCACATTTGTGCAAGCAATCATTCAAATAAGATCTCTTCCTGATAAACGCAATTGTTAACTGTTTAGTCTTTGATTTTCACTACATAAAAGCATGTTTCATTGTGTATTTTGTTAATGACTTTAATCATCCTAACTGTGCATAAATTTTGGCTTGAATAAAACTGAGTTGAAATTATCTCATATGATTATAGTTTTTCAGGAATAAATAAATTTTTATTATTATTATATTTCAAATGCAGTTCTGGAAAGGTCCCTTTATTTCTCAAATTAATTGTCTGTGAATGATCTACTAGTTTTCAAAACTTACCATGCTGGTCAACCCACAATTTCCCTACTATGATATTGTGTACAGTTGTAGTAACTTTTCTCCACGAATACCTATTTCTGCTCTCCTTGAACTCTGCATGGGCTACACCCAATGGTATAACCTAAAAAATACTTGGTAAATCTAGAAACGAGACACTCCTCATCTAACCCACTCACCTGCAAGTATTTTCCTCTAAATTTAGATGTCATGGTGAATTCTTGCCAACTGTTCCAACCCCTACCTTCACAGTATTGAGCTGCCATAGGTGGGTGGTGTGACACTTGTTCATTTATCGCTCTCCAGCCTAAATCTTCCATCCGATCACATTCATAGGTTTCACCTAGAAGAGGATTGAATGGTTTGCCTGTCCGGCTGCTAGTGGTAGCGTATGAAGAAATAGTGAAAGCAGCCAAATAAGCTAATTGTTCACAAGGATCGGTACATCTGTAAATGAATGATAACAATAAGCATTATTTTAAATTTATGTGAAATGAAATAAAACAAAATTTGGGAGGACTACAAAGTCGGTGACATCCAATTTTATCAGTAGAATCGAACTCAGAGAAACAGAAGGTTATTTATTGCAATATAAGTTTACACAAATGTATGTCTGCTAAATTATAAAACAGTGTAACAACTATGTTCTGGAAAATCCAAAATTGTTATGTGAACCTGCAAGTTATGTGTTTTTACAATGAATACTTCAACTGATAGGTTTACTCGTAAGTACATAAAATATCTCTTGATATATTAGCAAATGTCCCAATCTATTTGTTTGTTTTATATTTGTATTGCATTGACGGTTTGGAGGTTATGATATATAATTTGTGACTCCTAACTACATGCTATGCGTGTGAAAAAGCTCATAAAATAGTTCAGAAAATGTTAACATTTATTTTTCAGTCTTTTGAATCCTCAATACCTAGTAGTGATGGACCCGTAATGTACAATTATCTAACCATGTATAGTTTTTTTCATGTAGCCCAATCACAGTAAAGTGTAGCATCTTTTATACGGTTCTCAGCGTTCTTCAAACAGTCAGTAGTGCATTTCAAACAACTTAAGTAGTCACTGGGTTCTCCGGTTTCATTGAAGACCAAGATACCACTGATGAAAAGCTTTCCAGGAAGGAATTCTTATCCTTCGATTTGAAAATGCAAGATTAGTAACAAAACGGTATTTTGATATCCCTACTATCAAATAATCAGTGAACAGAAGTCGAAAGGTTATCATGTACTGCAGTCAATAGTTCAATTTGAACATCGTATTTCCTTATTTTCAATAAAGAAGTACATATGAGTAACTGGATTTGTTTAATTTAAACCAGTATGAAACAAAAAACTTCATAAATACATTACATACATACAATATTGATTTATGCAAGGGTCTGAGTACATATAGATTATTACATCTATGGAATGAAAGGAATATTAATAACAGCACATGGACTGTCTATGTGTTATCATTGATAATAATTAGTAAGAGATAAGTGCTAAATATTAGTATATTGAGTAGGTAGTATTATTTTTTATTATAGATTGAATAAGAGTGCACTCTTGTCTCTAGACCCATTAACTCCCTTCTTCTTTTATGAATGAAGGATAATTTGAGTGGTTGTAGAAGTTGAGTATGTTCAATTTTTCAAAACAATTCCTATGTGGGTCAACACATAAGGTAGTATAATATTGTATCTAACAGATGAAGGGACCTTTTTTTGTTTCTTGGTTCAGAAAGCAACCAATGAAATAAATAAAGGTTAAACCTTTGGCTTAGAACAAATTAAAAAAACATGCACTATTCTCAGTCATCACATCTCCAATACTCTTCTCCAAGCAAGTTTCACCAAGCAACCAAGTTAGCATCTTCAGGAGATGACAAAAATGAAGAAACCAACTAGGTTGGTGAAACGCGCATCAGGACGAGTAATGCAGTTCTGGTATTTGGGAAAACTGTTTTTTTTTGGAATCAAAGGTATGTACATACACAAAGTGAGTGTGAAAACACCTTTTCCAAGCCAGGTGTACAAAAAGTGTTTTTCCGTCTATCAAATTGAGTGAGGTTTTTGTATTCAACTTGTTTTAACATAATTCAATTGATAAATTATTCATCAGACTGGTGGAAGTTTTTGAAGAATTGAATGATGAAAGTATAAGATGATTTCATACATAAGAGAAATAGTATAAATTTGTAATGTATGTTTAAGCTCCTGATATCATGAGTAAAACAGCTGTGGTATACCTAAATTCAATATTTTTTTTTGGAAAACTAACATTTTTCAATGTTTATTCACTGGTTATTGATACACCTTCAATAACACAACATAGTTGAGACTTAATTCAATGAGAACCATTTTATTATGAGTAAATTGATATTCACTTATTAATAAAATAAAAATTATGTACTTACTTTGCTGCTTTATCTAACAAATCAGCATATTCAAAATCTTCAGTCAAACGCTGTAACATCGACAAAGGTTCATTGAAATTTACTGGCATGGGTATTTTTGACAGATCTTTCCCTATACAATTCTTCATGATGCTCCATAGATTCAATGGATAGTTAGGTTTATCAGGAATCCTTGTTCTTCTCTGACGTTTATTTATGGCTGTAGCAATTTCAACGTTCGCCGTACCGCTTTCTTGTTCTACTCGTGGAATATTTGAATGCTTTCCCGTTACCACTACTACCTGGCCGAACATTAAATTGGTTGGAAATGATATACCAATGAATTGAATCGACTTACTTGTTTCGTTTCCTGAGCTTCCTCAGTTTCACTTGAGCTGTCCGAGCTACTTCTTCTATGTCCTGTTCCTGTTCTGATGTTCAATGTGAAACGTTCATCAGCAGACTGATTTGGAGTACCACCACCTTCTGCTAATGCATCGTAAAATTCATTGTCATCTTCCTCCTCATTCTCACTTACTGAAAATATCAAAAAAGAATTATTTTTCTCGGAAAAAGCTACTAGCTTCACCACTGATTTCGAAATGAACAGTTTTTGAATAAAACTGGAATCACAAAAATTTAGGTTATGTCATCTACCAAAATGAAATATTCAACATGGAATACTCAAAATTTGAAATACACTTCAACAAACACTGAAACAAAAGCCTCTCTTTTGAAAAAACAAGCAGGTTACATGTTTACTTGAAAATTTTGATGTGGTTTTGATTTGGAGGTTAAGTTAAGAAATTATTATTTTCTAATAGATATATTACTTACATTTGAAACGATGTAAAACGTTATTGCGATGATTTTTCATATTATTGACCGAAACTGACAACTAAACATATCATACAAGCATAATGAGTAATGATATTTATGGAAAGTAGGATATACGACCACCAAATACGGTGATTTGTCCGATAACAATACAATTACTGTATTCTGTACGTTTAAAATTAAAGAAAATCGAGTAATAAAGCACGAAGTGGCAATAATTATAATATTCAATTTTGAATCAAACTTGTTAACAAATTAATATGAAGGAAGAATTAGAGACGATTTATCATCGAGGTCAAATATTGCCCATGAGAATCAAAATAACCACAAGTTGTCATTGGCGTATCCAAAGGGAAATCATTACCCGTAATCAGAGATAAAATTTACCGAATATTAATTAAGCCCACCGTCCCTTGAATACTTAACATGATTTTACAAATAAAAGGATACCTCAATTTTACGTTTCATCAATTTGATTAATCATTCGAGCGAGCCAGCGAACTATTTTTTGCGAGTAGATATCCTTCACAAATGAATCTCATTAGAAAAATATCATTTAAATATTACAACACGAAGCAACTCAAAAAAGCACTCAAAATATTTATATTTTTGTTATGATGCTCAATTTGAAATAATTTCAAAATTGAATGAAAAAAAGAAAAAAAAAAGCTTTAAAATAGGACCAGTGGCATTCAACTCCAAATTTCTAACAACTACTCCAAGACGACTCTCATAAGTTGGTGTGACATAAAGCTGTTTAAGTTTTGAATTACTTTAATTTTGTTATTAGGCTTCCTGAAAAATATCAATATTTATGCCACATTTCAAATATGTATATGGTGGGATACACTTCCCGAGTCCATATTCTCATTCCTGTTTTTGAATTTATCCCAGTCAACTGTACTTTTCAGTTATGAAATAAATTAGCTTCAAACGTTGATGAAAATTATAAAGGGGATGTTTTGCAAACATTAATATCCTTTCGTTATTTCTTATCGGATTGTTGAAATAATTTCATTATCAAACATAAACATTATAAAAATATGAATAAATATTCAAGGTAATTCAAACTCCACTGACAGACGAGTTTCAAACATTTATTAGTCAATCTAATTATTTTAGATTGTTTTATTGAGGAAAAAATCCATAGAATTGATTGATAAAGAGAAAATGTTTAAAAAAAATCTGTTTAAAATCTGTTTTTCCGTTAATCAGTAAGTCAATAGATTACCTATTTATATCTGAACTAGAATAAATTCAACCCACATTTTTAGGTGCAACGCACATTTTTAGTTGTATCCTGTCTATTGTGAAATATCGTGTAAGTGAAAAAATTATAAAGTAATTTATATTCTTTCAAATTGACTCACGTAATAATGTATGCGAAGCTCGCTTGAACAAATAAAATATTTAATGTTATCAATCAAAATTATGTAATAGTACAGCTTCACACTGCATATGGAATGACTAATTAAAGATATCACAACGGTTTTGTTAAGAAACACATGTACTTTTTTCTAAGTTGGTTACTCTGAAAGAATAAAACTGGAAAAAATTCCAATAATGTACAATCTGCTATAAGAACAATTTGAGCATTTCGTCCGTTGTCCCATCGTCTTTGATAATGTCTACCGCAATAGTAGATGAAACGTCAGGCACAACAACCTGCAGACCACGGCATACAAACCCGGAAAATAACCGGAAAACACAATCCCTTTTTTTCAACAGTTTTATAGATACACCTAATTTTAAAATTGTAAACGTCTCATTTACATAAAAATAAGAAAATTGATTAATGTATAATCAAGATATATACAACGAAGAGGTTTCTATTTTGTTCTGGAAAACAAAGTGAAACTGAGAAAATAAATCAAGCGATATTTTTTTTTATTTTTTAGGTGTTTTACCAACAAAATATTAAATGCTTCAAGAAACGTCAGTGGTCAGTAATGTTGGTTGAACTTATCTAATTAGTGCTAACTTTTATTACTGAAAATAAAATTGCCAAGTTTTACCACAATCGTAAAAGGGATATTTACAATATTAATTCACGAAAGGATTTTTTAGAACAGTTCGACACTTTATATCTTGGAAACAATGAATTTCCATAAAATTAGCTTCTGAACACACAATTCAATTTTTTTATGGCAAATAGGAACCACGCTGCATAAAAGTATTGTTTTATCGCGTATATTATTGCTCGCGGCTTCGCTCGCGTAGAATTTGGTTTGCCACATCAAGTTTCGTAACGGACTATTTCAAACAAATAGTTACAATACTTTTTATTAGCCCAAACTTAAGGTTTCCAACTTCAAAACTGACGAAATTCAATAAAATCTTTGAAACTCTATTTTCCCCCTTAGCGGTGGAAATTCCTGATTCCCTTTCTTGATGCTTATTTACGCTATACAAAGAACCTACCTGCATATTTCCAAATTCTAGGCTCAGTAGCTTCGGCTGTACGTTAATATAAGAGCGGGCAGAAGCTTGTTATTTATATTTTTACCTTAAAAATACAGTAACTAAAAAATATGCTAGCTGCACTAAGTAATGAATAGTTTCGAGAATCGATTTATGTTACTTATAAAGAAATTCGCAAAACTGACACAACCGTCAACGACGTCCGCCCTCACGCGTCTGCCCGCGTTCGGGTCGCATTCTCGGCGATGGCACTTCATTGCTTAGACCACCCCTCTACCCATCGCAACGTAACTTGTCTCACAGTAGACGCGACGCGTAACGGCTTACTGCGTTGCGTCAAGTTAATCTTATTGTGACAACTTTGAAACGAATCGTCCAAAATCCTTAGTGAAAAGAACAAAGTTTATCTATATTAAATACTTAAAACGACAATTCTATCAATTTTTATAAGAGTTTGACAGATATTCTAAAATATGCATTGTGAAAAATATCCAATTTAATTGTATTTATGGCTCAGTATTTTGCATATAGTGGCTACCACATAAGAGGTGTAGATATATACTATTCGGACTTTTATTTAGAACTATTCAAAATAAACAATCTTACGGTACATTATCTGCATGTAACTCCAACGGTAGAGGCAGCGCACGCCTAGATAGCTCTCAGGAAGAAATACCTTTTCCGACTTACTTAATACTTATCGTTATATTATGACCAAAATTACAGGAAACCTTTATAAATTATACCCTATATGTTATTTTCATGTATAAACTGTATTTATGTAGTTTCATCTAAATTCGTTCAGTCGTTTAGGCGTGTGCATTCTTTCGTCGATTCAAATGTATTAATGCAATAATTACTTTTGAATGTAAGGAAGTTATGATTCCACATATCATGTTTTCAGGATATATTTCGATTGTCTGACTGTTTTTGATCGAAGATAAAGTGAGTACTGCATACTTTTGAGTGCGCTCATGGAACTGCCTATTATTGCAACAATTACTTATAAATGTAAATTTAGACTATAGGCACTGACTGTTATGATTTTATATCATGTGTTCGGAACATATTTCAACAGTTTGAATAAGGACTCTAGTTATTTACTGTTGTCTAACAGTGACTGCACCTGATCGTATAAGTACCCCTCTGAACCTAAGTGTAAAAATCATGATTTCTGTATAGTATGTTCAGGAAATATTCAATAACTTAGGCAGGGATTCAAAAATGGCGTTTTTATTCTTGACTAGTTAAATATTACTCTATTTATTGTAAAAATATTATCGTTGCCAAAATGAGGTATGTCTGGCGGCACTAGGACCTTGGTATGTATACAGATAAAACAAAAAAGTTATTAAACAAAGCAAACTGCTACAAGAGGGGATGGGTGAAAAATTCTAAATAAAAACAATTTTTTTCGAAGGTATCCTGTCTCGCCAGTTTGTTAAAGCAAATATTTGAAAACTGTTGTTTAAACGGTGATTAGATAAATGTACACAAGTTTTAACTTTTGAGGGAAAAAAACACGGAAGTTTTCTTGAACACGTAAACGACTATATCTGTAACATTACAAGAGTAAAATCGATTTTTAGTAAATTCAATTTAATATTCTTCTTTGTATCTTGTGAGGAGTCAACCTCTTTTATTTTAATGACTTGTTTATTGTATTGACATGTTTCAATTGTATAATTATCTGCGAGCGCTTTCGACAGCTGGTCGTACTGTCATCATCTAGGCACTACTCAAACTGCAGCAGTTTGAGTAGTGCCCTCGATCTTTTATTTAACGTACATAATGTGCGGGTTCCAGGTGAGCCCACGGTCTATTAGAAGACCGAGGTACTTTACCCGCGCTTGCCAGTCGATCTCCCTTCCAGAGATTATAACTTTTCTGACCGGAGAAGATGATAATCTTCCCAAGGTTATCGCCTGAGTCTTGTCTGGGTTCACTCGGATCTTCCATTCGAGGTACCAGCGCTCGAGGTCGTCCAATGCAGGTTGCATGTAGACGATCCTGAGCTCCCGACCCATGAAAGATGAGAGAAGGGCCGTGGCTTATAAAGATATCTTCACGCGCTCAGGCCTCGAAAGGTCACTGGTGTAAAGTGAGTAGAGCTCCGAACGAACAAAATTAGTTCCAACTAGTCATGAGCTCTATCTGCAGTTGATTCAGTAGGATATCCACTGCGCCACCTGAAGACAAACTCTGGAAACAACTCCACAAACACATACTCCAGGTTTGGAGTCGGGAGGTACCCGACGAAAAAACAACAACTAACCCAGCAAAGCGATGCCGAAACAGCCCGAAAAATTAACCAGTCGTTTAGTGATAGTGTTAATGAACGCACTGTTCGACACTCGTTTGCAAAATTTCATTCCGGATATTTTATCTTCGAAGATAAGCACCGAAATGGTCAACCTACAGTAATCCAGAACGAGGATTTGAGAACCCTGGTGGAAACTGACCCATAACAAACGGTGCGTTGGTTGGCGAAAAAACTGGGCGTTAGCTCCCATGCGTACTGGAAAGGTCATAAGGCTCAAAAAGTGGGTGCCTCACCGTTTGAACGCTCCACAGAAAATGTCACTTTTCGAAGTCTATTCTTCTTTGCTTTTGCACAAACAATAAGTACTATCCTTTTTTGGATCGGATTGTCACATGAAAAGTGAATCACGACAACAGGAGACGTTCAGGGCAGTGGTTGGACATCGATGAGTTACTCAGGCACTTTCCAAAGGCGAAAACCTACCAAAAAAAAGACCATGGTTACTGTATGGTGGTCAGCGGCTGGTGTGATTCTCTGTAACTTTCTGCAACCGGGCCAAACCATCACAGCACAGTCCTATTTTGAGGAAATCAACGAAATGTACCGAAGATTGCGTCAGCAGCAGCCAGCACTAGTCGACAAAAGTCAGATCCCGCTCCACGACAACGCTCGTCCGCACGTTTCACAAATCACCGTCCGAAAATTCAACGAATTGAGCGTCGAAGTTTTGCCTCACCCACCATACCTCCCGTCAACCGACTAACATTTTTTCAAGCACTTCGATAAGTTTCTCACCGGTAGAACCTTCGTCAGTCAGGATCAAGCAAAACGGCCTTCGTCGACTTCATCGTATCCCGAGCACGAAATTTTTATGATGATGAAATTAATCGACTTGAGTTACGTTCGTAAACGTGCAAAGGTTCAAATAGGGCTCATTTCGATTGAATTTAATAAGTATGTATTCACTATATATTACAGTTTGAAGTAGGTTCATAAAAACTTTTGAAACAAGCCAATAATTCAGAACCACCCCGTACATCTTTTGATTCTGTATCACGTACCTCTTTTCTATTTTCAAGTAAATGCATTTTTAGCTACCTGCCAGTTCTATGAGATTGCTTGCTAGAGTAAGGTAATGAAGTTACATACTCTGATTCTATCAGGAAAGGCGAGTTCTCAAATTCAACAGAAAAATCCCAATGAATTAACGTCAACCAATAGAAACGCGCTAACGTTTCGACTTTTGATTGTATCCAAAACTTAATTCATGGGATCAATTCTTATGATGTTATTGTGACATTTTTCACCCAATTATGAAGTTGTCAAAGTAGTTTTGTTTAAATGAAAATAATAATTCATATTGAAATGCAGTGATTCAACAGTGCCAAAATAAAGTAGGAGCCCAACATAAATGACTTTGTCCAAGTGAATAAGGGAAGGGATTAACAGATAAAATTTCATAGAAGATTTAGTAAATACTCTAAAGTTCAGAAGTGAACGGCATTCTAAAAGTTTGTTGTTTTAATCAATTAAAACCTTAATTATTATCGACACTTTGAATCTTTTTAGGTCAAGTGTAAAACTCTGTACAACAAGAATGAAATTAACCAAGTCTTTTAGAAAGCCTTTAGTTAAATAAAATAAATTAAAAAAAAAAACAAAAATTACTAATACCTACTTAGTGACCAAGAAGAGTCGGGAGTCCCCCCTATGGATATGTTGTCCCCAGCCTGATCTAAGAGTTAGAGATAATTAAATCTATTAGATAGTTGTGGTTTTTATATATAACCAATAAATGGTTGCAAAAATTCAAAATCTTTGAACATTTTTCATAATCTTGCATCGAAAGAACAATTAAAAACTAATAAGTATGAACAAATTTTTATCACTCAGATTCCGATGGGTTATTATCATAGGTGAAACTTCATCAAATGAGTGAGACAAATCTGACCCACCCACTAAAGTTTTAGTTTAATGTGGTTGAAACTTGCTCTGACCGAAAGATAAAACAATATTTTGTGCAGTTTGTGTTATAGCTTGTAGACAAATGAACAATTCAATTGATAAAATTGCGCAGAAGCACTCAACATAGAAGTCAAAAAATGTATCGTAAGATTGAATAAAAATTTGATCAACATTCTAAATTAGACAAAATTCATTTGACAGATATTCAAAATGAAAAACAGAAGAATTTTGTTTTAGGTTAGGTTAGGTCCAAAGAGAGTGGGTCTATTCGACCCTCCACCGCATCCGCAAGGGTTTATTGTGGCTCACACCTATTCACACTCCACCAAATAGACCCAGTTTCTTAACGAAGCCGATTAGTTTGTCAGGCCAGATAGTAAGAATACGGCTCTGCTGAACTCTAAAAACTTCATTCGGTCCCCAGTGGGGCAGGCACAAAGTAAGTGCTTTGCTGTTTCATCATCATTATTTTGCTGTTTCTGCACACAATTCAATAGCGAAATTTCTTTTTGAAATACAGCGGCATAGGTTTCTAGACACGTTGATATCTTTGTCCTGGGTTTGCGACCGAAAACACCTGCACCAGAACCAGAAGGTGTTTTTTATTCATCTGTGAACCAACAACTATCTGCTCTTAATATTTTTTTCTCCCGGAGGATCCAGTCCTCTCTATTATGGAACAGTACTTTATTAGGCAGTTCGTAGTTGACAGTTGGAGGCACACAGTCAGATGTCATTTCCAGAATGCTGTGACTTCCAGTGTCAACCAACAATCTGTTGCACTCTGCATTAAATTGATTTATGCAATTGGCAATGTGTACAAGTCTATATGCAGTCCATTAATCTCTCTCTCTCTCTCCAGAAAAATGTGGAGAGAAGGTAGATCTAGAAGGATCTCCATGGCCGCTGATGATGTGGTACTGATGGCACCATTGATGGCCAGACAAGCCTGTCTCTGTGCGCCAGAGAATTTCGTCTGGGCCGTTTTCTGTAAAGCTTTCGGCCACCAGGTAATTGCACCATAAGTGATCATTGGTCTGACAATCATCACATAAATCCAATGGATTTGTTTGGGACCTACACCCCAAGTTTTACCAGAAATCCCTCGACCTGGATCTAAAAGGTATAAATCAAGTATTTTGTTTTACAAAAATAGTTTTCGAAAATGTCTTAGTCTTGCCTGAAAAACATGTCATAAAATAATAATCAGAGGATAACTCAATTGAACACTATTAGTTCATACATCCAAATGACGAATGTCACTAAAAAGATATAGACCGATGTTGAAACCAACACTTCATTGAAGAAATTATATGCATTCAACCAGTAGCCTGAAGAATGTTGCACTGAATCTTCTGGTAGAAAATTCAATTTGCTAAATAATGTCAACTAGAATTTCCAAACAAAAGTAAAGTGACAGATTAACGGAGAACGAATAAAAACATTAAGAAACAAAGATTACTCGATTATATGTTCTATCAGTTGTACTGGCATTTCAAGTTCATTAAACTTTTTGGTATAGTCGAAGTTAACGATATTGTGCACACTTAAAGTTGGCGGCACTTTCAAAGGCCAACAAAACCAATACATAGAAATGATCCGGCTGCGAACTAGTCCACGTGGACTGTAGAATTGGCGGTTCGTATTGGATAATTTTTACTAACCAAGTTTTATGATTGACTGAAGAGTCATTAAATTAAATTCAAAGTCTTCCTAAATGAAAGAGACATCCTTTCCTACGTACGTTTCTTTCATGATATTGAGACTTCCAGAGCCTCTAGGAATATTTCAAGATAACCGATTGAAATGAATACAAATTGGCGATCATATTTCACATAAACTTCAAAATTTGCATATGGAAACTGAGTTTTTTAACCTTATATCGCTTTCTTTTTTTGCAAAGAATTTCAACATATAATCTTCATAAACCAAGCTCAATTGATCAAAATGAAAAAAATGCTTTGAATACGTTAAATCTTCCATTGTATCGATTACTTCAAAACTGAGTCATTGATATCGAAACTTTTTGAAAATATTGATATCACTTGAAATTGAAATTTGTATCTGTACAGACCGAGTCGAGGTACGGTAACATCAATTCAGTATATACACGCTGATTCGGCCATTCATTTAGTCTTTTTTGGCAGTTTCTTCCATCACGTGTTCAAACTTTTTACAGCGTTTATGTTAATTTTTTTGGTAAACTTTTCCATATGTGTAGATCATTTATCTGGACTCGTCCAAATCAAATTCGTATTGAAGAGAGTAATATACACTGCGTCAATTTGAAAAGTTACCACTCTTATATTTCGGCCCCTACAAAAAATATAAAATATGCAAAATCATATCAAACTTCTTGTTAAGAGGGATATTTTATAGGCTAGTTTTCAATTAAATTACATCGACCCCTAAAATTTTAGGAAAGGGGTTGAGTGATACATCATTTTAAACGTTGTTCAGCTCATTTTTCAAAAATTTTACATACTTGATCTTTCTTTTGAGTACTTTTGGAGAAATCGAGTAAAACCGTGAAGATATTCATCAGTATCAAGTTTTTTGCAGAAAAATAAAAAAAAAACATAATTATTTATCTTATTAAATGTTCGATATGTTGTCCAATTTTGTCTAAACATGAAGTCTGAAGATAAAGTTTGTTTTCAAATATTTCGAAAAACTTTCATCTGAAGTTCTACAGGCAACTGTTATTTTTCGTTTCAAATGTTACAAATCTCGATGCTGTGTTTTATTTATAAAAAATCGATTCAAGATACCCCATAGGAAGAGATCTAGATGCGATAAGTTGGGTGATCGTGGTGGCCATTCCATGGGTCCTCTTCGATCAATCCATCTGCCAGGAAATCTATCATTAAGCCACCGTCTATTTGAAAGAAAATAGTTTGGCGGAGCTTCATCTCACTGAAAGTGAATAAGATCGTCTTTCAAAATCATGTTACCAGCCGCATCAATGTGATTTTCCAAATTAGTTGTTATTACGGGGTCAATTATTTCTTGAAGCAGATTCAAGTGAAGCTCACTAGTTTAATTTTTCTCAATTAATAAAGGTACAATAATATTATTCACAAGAAAGCTAGCCCAATCGTTCACTTTCACTGGATACTTTGTATGACCTTCCTTAAAAAGTCGCGGATTTTCATCGCTCCAGTAGAGACGATTTTGTTTGTTAACATGAACGTTCAAGAAAGCGTATACTTGTTAGAGAAGCAAATGGCATGCAAAATATTTTGGTTTTCATTCATAAAATCCGTTACTGTTTCATAAAATTTAATACTTGTGTCGGAATAGTCGTCATAAAGCTGTGGAAGAATTTTCATTTGAAACGGTGAAATTCATTCAACTTTCCATACTGTTTTATGAGACATTCATATTAGGCGTGACACAATGCGAGGTCAAATGGAGGTACCAGTAAAGGTACCTAAAATTTCGAATTTGTTGTTAGCGTATGGGACAGTTTGTATCTCAGTTTATAACAGACTGGATATTTTTGTTGGAAGACTCTTCTCTCGGTCCCAGGTACCGTAATGGCGGAGAACATGTTGAATAAATAGTTTCATGAATATTAATTTAAGACAAAATATCATACACTCAAGTCATTTGCTTGGCAGAATTTTCAATGGATTTGCACACATTTTAACCGATTAAACTTGGTATTTTCGGAATACAACTCTTGATGAAATTTGTCAAAGGAAAAGAGCTACCCGTAAAGACTTTGTCCCTCATAATAGATTTGATTTTAACCTGCCGAATTAAATTAGTAATCCCCTAATTCAAATGATCCCAACTCGACCCACCATTGTTTGAGAGTATATAACCGAAGCACGAATGTCAATGTTTACTTCGAAAATGAATGAATTGAACTCACTTGCAGGCCGATGTGTATGAGCTGTGGCGGCTTGTTCCAATTTCGAGTGTTGCTGGGCGAGTGTTTCCACCATATCTTGTAACCTGGCTCTTTGTTCTTTTTCGTGTTGTAAGGCTCTCACCAATTTGTGACCATGATTTTGAGCCGTTTTAAGATATTCGGCACATGACTGAAAAAAATAAATAAATTAATCAATACAAATTTTTGTGCAATTTTCATTCGACACGTTGACAAGCGGGAATCAAAAAATTCCACGAAACACTGCAACACCCCCACAAAGTAGTGTACCTGACTCAGTATCCCAAGATCGTAAATTGAAATCCTTTTTCGATCACATATTTTCTTTCGGAAATTTATTCTAGTTGAAATTCTTCTTCTACTCGTACTTTAAATGACTGACCATAGTTGTCCTATCAAAGACAACAAAAAAAAATACTTATTTGACAGTTTTATCTTTAACGCAGAAATTAACTGAAGTGAACTCATTGAACTGTTCTATCAGTTGACCTGAAAAATCAGACATAATGAAAGTGAAACTTATTGGGAAAATATAATTACGGTTTTGGATTCTTGTTTTTTTATAAGAGGTGCACTTGTAAATAAACGACTTTATTCGAAGACGCAACAGTAAAACTGAAAAATATTGTGATTTCACTTTGCTTGAACTAAAGTGTCACTGTGATCAGTCCGCCAAACTTTGAATAATTTTTTTTTTCACTTCTTGATCCTCAGTCAACGATTTTCGTCATCACCTTCAGAATGATGCATTATAGTATCTAATACAATCAAATATTAGACAGATACGATAGCAGTTTGTTGTAACAACATAAAGGAAACAGAATGAAGAACTATGATAGTGAAAGAAGTCTCAAGCAAAATGGAAATGTTCAATTTATACAGACGGAAATGAATTGTCTGAATTGTAGTCATATGTTTTATAAATTTTTGTTACCAGTAGGTACATCCATAAATATTAATCTAAGAAAATCAAAGATATCACATTTCATTTGAATTCAACATTTACTAGGTAGCAGAATGGCTAGCAATTTATCAGGGTGTCTAAATATCTGAGAGTAATACTCGAAGTGTTCTTAATATCTGAGAGTAATACGACAATACTACAGAAAGAAATGGAACTGAAACCAGATAGAGGGGCTAACACCAGACATGGGATCTGAATTCAACATAAAGACTAAAATCAGACGTGGTATATTCCCCACACATAGTCGAAGCACGGTCCATGATTGGTTTGGTGGTCCAAGACTAACTAGATAGTCTTGGATTAACGCATTACTACCGGCATCGAAGAGAGGTTGGAGATTTGTCTGTCTTTGATAGATACTTTCACGGGAGATGTTCAAGTGACTTGGCACATTTGATTCAACCAAGAGCGGTACATATCAGAAATACGCGACGGGGTGTGGCTGCTCACCATTTTGAGGTTCAACTCGGTACACCTCGAACTTAACTGTTCGAAAACTCTTCAATTTGAAGAACTGCGCCTATGTGGGATAAAATTCCTGAGAACGTTTTTCCAAATGGATTTAATCTCCACTTTCGCTACTTTCGCACAGGTACCGCTCTTAGAGCGCCTTAAGGATTTTTCTGTAGTGCTTGTGTTTTGTTAAAAAAAACAAACTGTTGCATAAACCCACTATTTACTTAGGTTTCTGCATGCAAATCCAAATAATGTAATAGGAGTTACAAGTTGTCCGCAATTCGTTCAGAAGTACTGAAGTACAGTTTCAAACAATATTCCGTCACAAAACAGGCTTACCATAAAGTGTATAACTGACATAAGTTTCTCTTCCTAAGAAAATATTATCAGGTAACTAAATACATTTAGTTCCACTCGAATGAGAACATATGGTGATAACTTTAAATTCTCAATTATTTTCATATTTTCAACCAGAAATAATTGTTCGAGTTGTCTTGATGCCATGACCTTAAAGGATCAATAACCTCATATATGTATCTGACATTGCCTATTAAAAATAATTTGAATGGATTGTTATTTCAGAATAATATACAGAGAAGTGCAAAGTACGCTGGTGATCACATAAGTGCATGCGTTGCAATAGTTATATAATTTCTATTTCTCTTTGATATTCTGAAAAAAGAACTTTTTTTAAAACGGGAATCTTTTTTGAAGAATTGATCAGAAGCTACATACATATTATATAGTATTCGAAAATAAGATCTTTGTGGAGGTGTTACTCACATTACAACTCATTCTTGTAAATTTTAAAACTACAACTCACATTAACCATAGCGTTCGTCGCAATTCTGAACAAAGTAGCCCTTTCGCAAACTTCTTTGTTCTTCCCTTGTAGCACTTCAGTATCAGCGTTGGTTTCCATTTCGCTCAGGGGCTTCGCCAAATTCTTCCAGTGTTTGCCCAATACATCACCGCAAGTCTGCAAATCATTCAGTTGCGATTCTAGTTTTCTAACGATGCCTGACCAGTCTTCGAGGCCGCCTGATTCTTCCGCCTCTTCTTCATCCTCTTCATATTCCATTATCCTTCTGAAAGGAAAAAAGAAAACTGTTATAAATAGATAAGTACTGCCTTGTTCGGTTTAACAAACAGACCTATATTCGTTTTTTTGGAAACGAAAATATTAGTTAGGAAGAAACACATACATAAAAACTATAGTATTTAAAAAAAAAATCGAATATGTACGCAATGTATGCAATTATTTCTGTCAAATCCAACTGTACAGGAAAGCAGAAAATATCTTTGACGCTTTCATCATTCATTTTAATTTCTGTTAGGACTCTTTCACACGAGGAGCTTCACGTCTCTTTCGTAATTATGACTAAAGTAATTTGGAAATCATGACATTATAGTCCAAATTTTGAAATTCTATTCTGTTTAAATCTGTTAAAAATCTGTTTTTCCGTTAACCAGCTGTCGCACCCCTACGAACGACAACCCTCAGAAGTCGAAACTTGTGCGAGCTAAGGATTTATCGTGTGATTCCTAACACGGACATTATAGTCCAAATTTCGAAATTGAACTAAACATTTTGAGTTTCGAAGTCGTAATTTTCAAGAGTGAATAATAAAAATGTGTGGCCTTTTTGCGCTTCCGTAGAAAAGTGTTTTCAATAGATTAATTTTACGCCAGGGGTTCCAAATTCTACTTATCACCCCTGCTATATTAGTCTGGTCAAAATTATTATATGCGGGTCATTTGATGAAACAAGCCGAAATTTGATGAAAATTCAATATGTATTCACTAAATATCTTTGCAAAAACGCAACACTTGTTTCGCCATACAATGGTTCTTCAGGCGTGTAAAGACACGCCTGCAGAAGCCTAAAAAATCGTTTTTTAAATGCAGAAGTATAGATAATCAGAATCGCACCATTTTATTAGACTTTATAAGCCTTGACGATAGGCTTTTACATACTGTAAATAGCAACCGCAAAAATAGTTAAAATTTCTTAGGTAAATCTGAATAGTGATAGTTTTCCCTTTTTTTTATTACTAATACTCGTATAGAATTTTAAACAGTTGAAAGACAACCTACTATTAAGTCATAGGGATCCAGTTTTCGCTCAATATTTTGTGATAATCGCGCATCCGTTTTCATTGATGGAAGGCTATTAAAATTTTAATGAAATAAATTTCGCACTCGAAATAGCAATGTTTACCTGAAATATCAACATCACTGTGTTAAAAATAACTTTATTATAATTTTGTGCTGATTACAGTTTTGCGAAGTCCTGAAAGGAAATATACACGTATACATATATTCATTATTCTGAAATAGTATCTGCGTTGGAATTAAACATTTTCTAACATAATGAATACACGGTAAGGGTCGTTACTGATATCGATCCTTTCGTTAATTCACTCTTATACAGGGTTTGAAATCGATAATTAAAAAGTTAAACTAAAAATCAAATCAGATCAAAATTTTCATCTATAATTTTAAAAATCATTTGATTATTTTTGATCATGTGTGAAAAAATTATGCGAGTAACAAAAATTATAATTTTGAATTATTAATACATTTTGAATCAGAAATATTAATTCAGATACGGCGGATATTAAGTGCGGTGTGTCGCAAGGCTTTGTATTGAGTCCGATTTTATTCCTGCTTTACTGATTTAGATAATTTCACATCATTTGCCGATGACACTACATTTTTATGCCACCACGAAGATGAGAATACATTACATGAAATAATGCATAGGGACATGAAATTAAGGACTGGTATGACTGACTCTAAGTCATTGTCCTTCGACACTAAATACAAATGTAATTACTTTCAAATGTGTAATAGCAGATGTCTGTCTGGCAGATTAATTGATAATAACGACTCAGCCAAATATTTGGGAATATACTTGGAAAACAATCTTAAAGTTTGAAGAACATGTAAGAAATATTTTCTTTATGGGGGGCATGTAGCGATCTACTACTTCAGTTATCATATTCCAGAAGCAGCAGTTAGATACCTTTGTAGAGAAATATGGAGGGATGTATTTTACTTACTTTTGTATCAGATACTGTTTCCATAATTATTAAAAATATAATTGAAGATCAAAGAAACGATATCGGCAATCGTCAAAATAATTTGAAGGTCGCTATTCTGGCAACCAATCTGACAGCCGATCTAGTTACCGATTCTTTGTATACGTATTTCTCATTTTTATTTATCTCTTTTTATCTCAAGTAGGTGTGAAAATGTTTATTCATTATACATTCGCTTAATAATTTTGGCACCCACAGACATCTGTATTTTTACAAATTTTAGTTTAATTTATTACGTAACATTTTTTATATAACTTTTGGCATAAAAAATTAAAAAGAAACATTATACCTCTCTATACATGGAGTTGTGAGGTTGTAGTTTCAAAATTAATTTTTTTTTCCAAGTGATCATGTGTCAACCGAGAACGTATGTACTTATTCGCCTTTCAACATTAATATGCGTGGTAATTATCGCGTGCACAATTAAAGCGATTACCGAAAGACGAGGCAAATTGTTCCTGATGAAATGCATTGATTTAGAAAAAAGCACTTCAAAAGTAAACTACCTTTTATTTATTCAATGTGCAATTATATTTGAGTTAGGGTCGATTATTTTACCACCAATCGATACACAATATAGGGCAAACACCATTGACTTTCTGCAAATCAATTATCCCAGAGCCGAAATTTCGGTGACTTCAACGTCCACAATATTAAATGGTTAAAATTTTCAAATATTAATGACGAACAAGGTCGCGAAGCTGAGACTTTTGCAGTAAGCAGCGGACCTACCCAGTTTATAAATGAGCCAACCAGGATTCTTGACCGTGATGGAGAATATGCTAGTCTTCTGGATTTATACCTAACAACCAATCCAGAAATTTATACAGTCACCGTGCGAAAAGTTTAGCATTACAGATCTGCTGAGTGGGAGGATCTTCAAGACCATTTCCGAAATTTTCTCTGGCTAGATGTTTGTTTCAGCTCTTTTCAATGAAACGAACTAACTTCTAACGGCAAACCTTGGTTCCACAAAAACTGCAAACGAGCTGTTGCCTCCAAAAATCTCGCCTACCAACAGTGGCATAAAAATCCCAGTGCCAAAAACCGAACCAGGTTTGTTGATGCCCGCAACAGCTGTAAACTTGGAATAAATGAAAGCAAAGGACTTCACAATAGGAGAATTAGGAATAAACTGCTTGCCAATCCCAACGGGTCTAGATCCTTCTGGTCAGTAGCTGAAGCTGTTAATCAAAACTTTACAAAATCCACATTTCCACCAGTAATACAAGCAGATGGTTCAATTGCAACAACAGCCATGAAAAAAGCAAATCTACTAGGTGAACAATTTGCGTCCCACTCCACAATCGATTTTTTAGGAAAGGCACCACCCACTATCAACAAGGAGCCTGGTCCTGATGAAGTGCCCGTCATCGTACTTGAAATGTGCGCAAATGAACTCGCACCAGCGCTTTGCAAACTCTTCAACCTGTCTTACAAGGAAGGGGTTGTAGGAAGATTGCTCGCGATCAGCCTATTCCCAGAAAGGGCAAGAAAAATCTTCCAAATAACTATAGACCAGTCGCTTTGCTATCAGTGATATCAAAAATCATGGTGAAAGCCGTAAACCACCATATCCTTAAATATTTGGAAGATTTTAACATCTTGAGCGGTCATCAATATGGCTTTCGAAAACAAAGATCAACAGGCGACCTTCTATCGTATGTCACCCATATTTGGAATAACGCAATCGAGAAACATGACTATGGGTTGTCGGATCATTTTTGAGTATGGCTCTCCAGCTTCCTGAAAGAACGTTCCCTGCAAGTGGCCGTCGATGGATATCTCTCGAATACTTTCACCATCAACGCTGGTGTTCCCCTGAGATCCATATTGTCTCCAACTTTCTGTTTATTATATATCAACAACAAAGAATCCAATATATTGAATTTCACTAGTTCGGACTTCCATTGTCTAATATATAAAATGATTTGAAATCCCTGAGACAACTAAAAAAGAAAAATTAAAAATGAATAGCTGAAAATAACAATATTAAGCAAAAATAACCTGAAATGAAATAATAGTGAAATAAAATACAAGTAAAAATAGAACGATTGAACAAAAAATAAACACCAAAACGTCTAAGAATGGCAATTCGTTGTGGATTCCTTTTCCATTGTGAAAGTGATGGAAGGTCTCATGCTGTTGATGTGTTTCAGGAAGGCGTCTAGTTCAGTATTCCCATGGTTCCATATTATGAAGGTATCGTTAACATATCTCAACCAGACTCGAGGTTTCTTGTGGGCGTCTTCAATGGCCAGAGTTTCAAACCACTCCATACATATGTTGGCTATTACTTCTATAGGTTGATTAGTTCTCTCTTTCAGGTTCCCGTCTTCGGATAGCTTTCTCTGAATGATTTGGAGTACTTCTTCGACCGAAACGTTGGTGTAAAGGCTTTCCACGTCGAAGCTAATTAGTTGATCTTCCTGTGAGACTTCAATTGACCCTAGTAGTTCGACAAAATGCCTTGAATTCTTCACAAAAGACGACATTTTTCCTTGTAATGGTTGTATTATGGGAAGTGAAAATCTAGACAAGTTTTGAGTGTCCGAATCTCTGGAACTGAAGATCGGTCTAAGCATCGAGTGGTCCCAAGCTGAGATCATACACAGAGAGGAACATTGGTTTAGGAGAAAATTCAAGGAAGTCGCATACATGCTATCCAACAACGTATTCAGCCAAGCTAGCGTAGAGATACGCAACATACCATCATCAAGCGAAAAATGGCCAACTTCCGCCAAACGGTCATCTCCCACTGAACCAGTGAAGCGGAGATAAGTAAAAGTACTCGAACGACCCATAAATAGTCATCTCTCGGAGGAATCAGTCCAGACATCACCCGAAGACGATTGTAGATACTAACAATCGAAACGTCGTGAACTAACGTGGCTTGGAATCTCTCAACTTTTTATTTTTATTTCTTTATTTTTTGTTCAGTTGTTCTATTTTTACTTGTATTTTATTTCACTATTATTTAAAGCTTTGTATTCAAAACATCGAAACCATCACCAGCAGACAGCATAATGAATGCTTTGAATCTTCACTTACACACAAAGCAGATTCAAACAGAGGTCAAACATTCCACCAAAATGAAAAAAATCGAAACTGAGAGATGAACTGAAGTTGAAACTTACCTCCGACATAAGCAAAAGTTAAAGGTGACCGAAAACAATTTCGAAAACTTTTCCATAGCTGCAGTGTTGGACATTTTAATATCGGAATGAACATCGTGGTGTATCCTTGCTTATCATACATTAATCATTGACTATAGAAATTTCAAATAAATTGCACCTTTTTCGATTCGGTTGGATTTAACGAAAACAACCGAACGATGATAATCTATTTTCTTATCGCAATCTAATATCAAGGTCGTAATACCACTCAATAATTGAGGATCTTTTATGCAGATCCGTCTAGTACTGAGTTTTAGATATAAGACTGGAACGAACTTTAAAGAGGTTGAAATAATGAACAACTACAAGATGATACTCGTTCTGTTTTCGTTGATGATTTGGGAAAATTTTGTCTTAGCTTGTAGGTTTGTATGTCTACCGCAGTCGTAGACGAAATGTCAGGCATTAAACCTGCAGACATGAGCCATCAAACTCGGCAAATAGCTTTGACACAGTGAACGGCTTGAAAGTTTACACTCTTTTATCAGTGTGTACTGATCAATCTTTAACGTTTTGTGTATTACTTTGGTAATACACAGCTTGTGTCTCTTTCAATTTCTCTTAGTTCATTGTTCCTTTCTTCTGCTTGAAGGAGGTGTTGCTCTTATCCAAGCTTCACTTTTTTCCTTAATGTTTGCTATTATTTCACTTAGTGAAGTTATTATTTTAGCTCAGTCTATATATATCCACAATTTCGGAATTTTTTTTTCAGTTGCTTCGACTGCCTTGCTGAGGGTGTAAGACGAACCTCTCTGGTGAGAATAAATAAAATAAATGAAAGAATCTGTAAAAATTGAAGATATTCAACTTTCTTTCGTGAGGTGACATACAGCTAGCTGTCACAAAAGGGGCCACCAACAAGACGAACTATGTACAGGGCCAAGACATAATCGAAAGCTGTTACAAAGAGAAATACTATCTGAGCTGCAAAAGGAAGTCATGCGATACTGCTGAAAGGTTCATCCCGTAACCAAGTATTGTTGATCGTGACTCATGGAGTATGTATGTTTTAATAGCAATATCATGCGACAGTTATAACTTAATACAGGTAACTTGCTTGTTCAGGCTTAGAATAATAGTTTCATGGAAAATCAGGAAATAGAAAGCGTTTGCAAACCTGTGGACTTGCAGGTCTTCGTACAGAAGTTAATGGAAAACCAAGCAATGTGGAGTGTTTGCGAAGTTGTGGATTGGCAGGTTTTCGTATTGCGGTAGTCAGAATCAGAGAATACTCCATCACCAAACACAAGTACCAGGAGACTAGCTGCCCTGATTTAAGACACAAACATTTTTAGGAAAAGCCCCTGATGCAAAACACTATCGAATCGATTTGAACGTTATCCATTATATTCAGGTAGGACAGTAGGCTGCTAGGTTGACGTGGGTGGTTTGCTCGACACACTCAATCGACCGCTGTGTGAACCGGTGGTTCTAACCGCAAGGCCGGATGATCGATTTTCACTTCCTATCGCCCAACCCATGTTAGAAATCACACGTTAAAAAGCAAGACCTCGTCAGTCCTTAGCTTGCACAAGTTTCGATTTTTGAGAGTTCTCGTTCGTAGGGGGGCGACAGCTGGTTAACGAAAAAACAGATTTCAATAGACAGATAGACATATATCTAGATATTTAACGTTGATAATAATTCTCTGCGATTACGTCTGAGTGCGATCGGTCTGTCCGTTTTGGGATTAGTTGAAGTTTAGCTATTTTGCTAGCTCTATTTGCGCTGTCCTGAGAGTTGTTACTATATCGTTTCCTAACCGTGTTAGTAATCACACGTTAAAAGGTAAGACCTCGTTAGTCCTTAGCTCGCACAAGTTTTTCAACTTCTGAGAGTTGTCGTTCGTATGGGGGCGACAGCTGATTAACGGAAAAACAAATTTTGAACAGATTTTTTTTAAACAGATCCATATAAAATATAGAAGAAAGTTGTATGTCGGTTAATAAATTATATTATAATTTTTACAACATATTGAATTCTACAAACATAACACATTCAATCTGTTCGAACAATTCGAAAGTTAGGGCTTGTCATGATTTGGATATCTATGAAAAGATGAAGTATTTTCTGATATTAAGTGTGAATCCAGAACCGAACACAAAAAAATAAGTAATTAAAAACTTGGGTACTTATTTCTGCCTAATCTGCTTATTACAAAACAATGGCAGGTGTTGGTATAACGTCGATAGTAAAACAAATACTTCCTGGAATGCAACGTCTTGACAAACATGAATTAGATAGGTCTACGCCTAAGCAACTTCTACCAAAATATTATGTATCTGCTGAATTCAGTTATTCTGTTATTCTGTTGAAGACGCCATGAGTTAGCTTTTGTCATTGCAGGGTAATATACAGTGCATTCCATTTAAAACGAGCCACCCTGAATAACTTTTGGTACAATGATTTGCAGGACAAATAAAAAACACGTCAACCATAGTATACAGGGGGGCACATTTTGACATATTCACATTTGATGTTACTTCCCCTATCGCACCCCGAGAGCATGTCACCATTTTTTTTTTAATAGATCACACTATATTGTTTCGCATTATCAGATGCTCCATGATGAGCAGATTTCAACAAAGTATAAAACATTTGGTTTGAAGCTTATGGTTCGGGAGCTACCAATTGTTTAAGTTGAAAACGAGCCACTCAGAATTGAAAAATCTTTTAAATAGGGGTAACCCAACTATCATTTTCATATCAATTTTCTGACAAGTGAGTTGTTATGAAGAAAGGAAGGCTGACAAGGCGTTGTGTTTCACGTAGAAATGTGACCCCCTGAAAAGTAAAGTCGAAGTAGGTATTTCAAAATTTTTTTATTCTCAATATTGTAACGTTTTCCCCGTGGGTTTGACAATAATCAAACTGTTAATACAACCAAACACTTTAACTAAAACTTGAAAGTAATATTCAAATGTCTATCGCCTTATTTGAATTTACTCCGCATCGCAATGTCACTTGTGGTGTGGGTAGCGTTTATATATTATGGTAATCGAATTATCTCGAAGCCACTAGGGAATTCGATAGAAGCCTATCGAAGCAACGGCGATGCGACATATAACCAGAACAATCGCAAAACGCTATCTTGGCTACGTCACAAATGATTTATGACGACCAGCGGCGGCCGGTGTTATTTTTTTAGGGGATGATTTAGAACAATATCCAACTGTCTTTTAAGGATGGATCGTTTCAACTGGAATGCCACTGATGTCACTATTTGTTGAACACACTAGCACCATCATCACTGGACATTTTTTACTATCCCAATATTACCTCGTATTTGCTACTTATGCATTTACAAAAGAAAATGTTACTAAAATGGTGTAAAGATTTACGCGCGCCTAAAAATTTGCAAATTTCATTGAATCCCTTTCTGTATGACTTTTAATGGAGTGTTATCTATAACACTAATATTTTGTACTTACATAGCTTTGGCCTTTGCCAATTCGAGAGCTGTAACCCATGATTGTCTCTCTACTTCGGAAGCAGCTTTGATGTGAAAGGTTTGCGTTCCACCATTAGAAATGACGAAAGTGCACGCGTCCACCGTATATATCAAGGCACCATGTAGTGATATACTGCCCCGACATGTATGGACCATTTCAGCTTGATTTCTGTAAAAATAAAACATGATGTAAAAATACCGACTTCTCAGGAGATATCGCTTTGTACAGAGTAAAATCCAAGAAACAGTTTACAGTTGCGACAATGCAAGTCCTAAATTAAATACAAGAAAAACCAGATACTTCTTTAAAACATTGTTTTCCTCTAAGAATGAAAAGAGATGAAAAAACAGTTAACGTCTGAAGTCAATCAGAGAAAGCTCTAGTTTGGATAATTGATTGAAATTGTTAATTTTCAATGAGATTCAAAAATAAAAACAGTTCTTTATCAAAAAGTTAAGTCACTCAGAGCAGTAGCTAAGTTATTTCGTCTTTATTCCTTTGTCCACTCTTTTTGGAGGATAAATGATGTCAAATAATTTTTTGATAATTTCATAAACTTTCCCAATAAGAAAACTAATTAAGAGTTCTATGAACTCCCAGCACAGTGTAAAAACGGTTTCCTCTAAATGAGAGAAATTGTCCAGTAACTTGTACGCAGCTACAAGAAAATGTTAAAATAGGAAAATTTTGTGTTCGGGAACCAAATTCACCGCAAGACGTTTTCTTTCCTTGTGAAAACTTGACTCTTCCCATATCCAGCAGTGTGAATCCGTGTCAAAAGGACCCTAAAGTAACCAATGTATCAGACCCTGAGTTTTTAGAGGAAACTTTGGACGTTAGGTGGTTCAGCCAGCAGGAATAGACTTATTGCCTTCTCATGAGCGGGATATCTTATGAACATATTGATCCAAATTCTTAAACAGCAGAAGCAGAATCTGCATCACGAAGGTAAACAAACTCTCCCTGGATAATGTCCTATATCTAAGTCTAAACGTTTTTGACATATTAAAGTTTTTATGTCAAAAATGATGTTTGCAGACCCTACAATAATGATAAAGTTTTCCTATTAGGAAACCTTTGTCATTATATTTTGGTCGGGTTATTTGTAGAGTAGAACACAATTTAATATACTTTAAATGAAATTTCGATAATTATTAATACAGGGTAAAAGTGTCAGCACACGTTTATAAACGAATTTGGAATACAATGGTATTACTAAGAGAAAAAAAAAGTAAAATAGTGAACAGTGTGAGTTTCATATCAAAAATTGGGTCAAATTATTGTAAACCTAAGTTAGCTGCTTTGCAAAATTTTGAAAATCGTGAATGTATATACACATTTTAACCGATTTACCTTTGTGTACCATTTTTTTATGATCTCGTTTAATTTATATATCCCACCATTACTAAGACATCGATTATACATATAGGATTCCACGGCACATTTAATTCTATAAGTTACACTTCGATGTTTTGAATATATGAATATTTAACCGAAATGAAAAATTTTACTCCCTGGAAAACAGATATATTTCTTAGACGACCCCCCGTTTACTTTGAAAATTTTTGGATATAGCTGTCACTTCGAAGGATTTGAAGTGGGGTTGACATTTTAATGGCAAATTGCATCGTTTCAAAAATGAAAATTGACGTGCTCCAAGATTTTTTCCAAAAATGTCAGTAATGAAAAAAAAATTACCCTTCACCTTCGGACCGCACTGTTTAGAAGCAGTGCTTTGTTGTATCCTTGTATATACCTAACAATGCACTATGAATTCAATTTCAAGGAAACCGGTTAAATGCATTTGTCCATAAAGCTTTTTATCTATACATTAAATGATTTATCAAGTCATTACACGTAGATGTCCATAAAAAATTAATTAATGAAAACATTGTCGCCTGTGATTATATTTTTCAGCGTGGAACAAAGTTTGGAAACTGACTATTGAATGTCATACTCACACCTTGGAATTTCTGCTGTGAAATTGAAGTTTGCTTTATTACCTTTACTAATTTATTACCTTTATTAATTTGAAAAACTATGTATGAATTAATCTATTTGAGGTGATTTTCAGCTTGTATTCTGTTGCACCAAGAATTCTAAAAAAAATAACCTTTTTTCTATCTACCTATGTTTGTCTGTTTTCAACTGATGTTAAGTTTAACCATTAGGAAAGGTTGGTTCTAGCGTGATTGAATGGCCTGCTAGATCAACTGATTTGAAACCCCTTGGAATTTTTTATGGGAGAAACACGTTCGAGCGAATATCAGGGCCGTAACCTGAAATTCATCTGATGATCATTGGAAAAATTTGAAAATATCGAAGAGAACTACCTTTCTCAATATTTAATGAACATTGATAAAAAAAATACAAGTCAGTAGGTATTCAACATTTCAAGGTTGAGGAAGCCCCAAGTTAGAGTACGCTGTAACGTCTATAATACGTTGGCACTTATTTCACTTGCTTACTCGCCATTTCCTTGCTCTTGAACTACTTCGCATTCTAAACCAATGCTCAAATGAAACATATTTTAGTATATCTTGGAATCCATGTTACCACAGCAACGACTGTCTTCACGATACAGAAGTCTGATCGGCACAATATGCCTTACTTTGGGTGACACAATAGTTTTTTGAAGAAACAGAGACAAACATGGAATTTGGATCTTTCGTTAGTTAATCTTATCCCATCATTCTAATCCCATCATTCAATACAGCTATGAATTAGTAAATACTTGTTACAATATAACCGACTTCAGCTTGGTATAATCATAGTCAGGCTTTAGCTAAAGTTGGGGTAAATGGTAAATATCCTGGTGTAAATGATTGACAGAAATATATATTCCCGTATTTAGATATAGTAAGCATGTAAGGACTATAATTGTATTTTTTCCAAATAAATGAGGATCACTCAATATCCTACAACACACCCTCAAGCACAAAAACCCAACACCCAACTCAAACACAATCCAAAACACAAACAATAAAGTTGTGCAGGGCCTTATTTGTTCACTTACCCCTGTCTGAATCTTCTACGTCTTCGTATTGTCAAAGAAGGGACACCTCCATTGTTTTCGGCCCTGCACAACAATATAAAGATTTTTTAGGTGGAAATACGTCATGTGATGATACATCACAAAACTAGCTCTACTGATAATTGGAACGTTTAAAATGAACATGCTACGAACGAAATTACTTCCTAAACTAAAAAATCACTATATCAGGAATGAATTCAGAAAAACCTGATACACTACTGTTTCATATGCTGTAATTCTTCAATATACGATGCATACAAGTCATTTGTAATAGATACTCAAAGCATTCTGACCGATTCTGTGATACTAGTACGAGATCTGTTCAAAAAATAAGGTGAATTTTCATTTTTCTCAAAAAATATTCATTTATTCCTCAATTTCTATGTTGTCCCCTTCAAAGTAGTCCTCTCCAAATATAATACACATCTGTCGCGGTTTTTCCAATTCTCAAAGCATTTTTTGGTATGCCATTGAGCTCTCTCAGCGATTCAGTTTTCATCTCCTCAATCATCGCAGAACGTCGTCCTTTCATGGGCCTCGTCAATCTTGAGAACAGAAAAAAGTCGCAGGGAGGCAAATCTGGTAAATACGTTGGCTGAGGCATGATTACGGTGTTGTTTTTGACCAAAAATTTACGAACAAGCACAAGCAACTGTGAACATATGTTCATAACGTGTGTACCAACATAAAAAAAATCGCTAATCGAATCTACGTAGCCCGCAAAATTTGAATATTCACCTGATTTTTGTAACAGACTTCGTAGGTAACAAGCTAGTTAGTTTGGTTTGGAAAAAAATTATAGTTTTCTTGTTGGAGATAAAACCATCACTGAGGTTACTTTTTTGAAACATTGAAAAATACGCGACTTCGCCAGGTGTTTGGCATTCATTTATGAAACGGTTTCTAAAATTGGCGATGATTTCAGGGAGATATACAACTGGTATTGCTATGTTAACATCATTCTGAAGCAGTTTGACACATAAAAGTCATTCCCACAAAATTAATTAAAAAACATTTTACAAAATTCATTCCATTGAAAAGTTATCTATTTCATCTGGTTCTAAGCCTGAGCAACGAAAATAATGAGATTTGTCGTTTTACCGTCGAATTTAGTTGTTCGAAAGCTAAGATATAAGTTTACTGAAAAATTAAATTTCACGCAAAAGTGAAACCGCAAAAACAACCATTCGCTCCGTTTGTTAACACCTCTCTCAACAAAAATCTTATGCAAATGCCGTTCACATTCCACTTTCCTACAAGTAAAAGAGAACAACTATCCTTTTCCTCTTATGAATTAAAATTCAAGAGTACCTGATAGCGCTTGGTAACAAGGTTTCATCAAAGGGGTGAAGTGTGCACCTACTTTGTGAACCATTTTATATAATTAAGTAATGATCACTTGGACCAGTAAATCTCCTCGGTTCATCTAATCAAATTTTCAAGTCCATCACGTTTTCAATTTGTTGTAGAGAATTATCACAAAGTCCGTGGTATGACCCTCATAACCCCCATAACTTTTCTCAAGATAGTGACATTCCAATTTTGCAAAAAAGTTTACCATCATCCCGATAGCAATCCGAAAACACTCAATCCAAAAGTGTTCCTATCGACTTATCTGTTTCAAAAAACCTAAAGGCGGCCACTTTGCTTCACCATATTATTATAATTTACAAATATACCAATTTACAGAAAGTATAATTGTAGTAAATCACCCAAGCCTCTGATACATACAACCAAGTAGTATTTCAAAAACACTCCATTTCGGAAATAATCAGAAGAAATGAGACCCATATGATGTAATTGGACGATACTTGATGAAAATCTATGACTAACGTATTGTGAGATTTTCACTAAACAGTTTTACAAAAACGCAACACGTGTTTCGTCATACACTGGCTTCTTCAGGCGTGTCTTCACTCACGTAGTAAAGACACAATAAAGTGTTTTTGAATACGTAATGAGACCTATCTGTTGTAGCTATTCCAACATTTGAAACAAAAAAAACTGTTTTTCTTAGACGCAAGAAAATACAACAAAGTAACATTATATCGGCAAAAAGTTTATTTGATGAAGAATCATCTATCTTTACACTAAATTTTGAACTGTTCGCTATAGTCACAGGTTTAGAAGATGCAATTTCTTATACTAACCAATAGGTTGCATCGTCTGTGGGTCCTTTCGAAAACACACTCTTATTTCAAACTAAGATCGAACTAGAGAAATCATAGGCAACAGAAACGCTTCCAAGGTAGCTCAGCTCATACTCAACAGACACTCACAACTCACGCATAAATCAAATTATCTTCACATACATACCATATACACCTCGTCAAGAAAAAGTCTGAGCGTGAAACATGATATCTGTGAATGACCAAGATATCAAGCATAAGGCAATATTCATCCAATGAACCCTGGAAAACACTATGAAGAACATGAACACCTGTGAAACTAGAGATATGATGACTTAAGTATCAAAATCCATTCTCTTATAATTTTGAATGTCAACAAATTCTGATCTTGAATAACCTTTTTATTGTTAGCTCGATTTTGATAATTGTTTAGTGAGGAAGGAAGATCATCCCAGATCGATTCACATCAAAGATATTTCCCAACAAGAAAGGTATGTTTCTTTCATGTAAGTTTAGGACACCCTGTGGTGAAATATAGCTTTTGGGTGACACTCAAAACTATCCGGTATACAAGCTTGATTCATTCCCTATACATTATTTCACCATTCATTTTGATATCACGAATCGTTTAAAATGTATGAACTATTGCGGTTCCAGATTTTAAACAGACGGATTTTTTATTTCGTTTCCTCTGCGTGTTCTTCATTCTTCACAATAATTATAGAAAAAATAACAATAAAATGATAACATAACATAATGATAACATAAGTAGATAACAACAACGGAAAATAAAACCATAAACCAATTTTTCACTATCGGGTGTTGCTTTCTCTAGCTTGGACAACAGCTTCCATTCTCCGAGGCAATCATCGAATTAGCGGTCGAATACATCCCTGGGGTATGTTATTCCACTTCTCTATAAACGAAACACGAAATTCAATTTTGTTTGTAATTGGTCTTTCGCGACTTTTCAGACGTTTACCTAGATAGTACTAAATATGCCCAATTAGACTTGCATCCGGGAACATGCATAAGACGAATACATAGAGAAAGTGCAATTCTTTATTCAATAATTCTTAAATTTCAAATGAATCGTAATATCAAAATGAATGAAGAAACAATGTATAGTGAATGAACCAAGCATGCATAGAGGATGGTTTTGAGTTTCATCCAATAGCTGTATTTCATTAACCTGTATTTCCTAACCTAACCTAGATGATAGAAATATAACTTTATTTTCCCTCGTATAATGTGCATCAATCCTAATTAGGAAGTCTCTTTGACGTGAGTTAATCTGGGATAAATTTCCATTCATTTTTTAATATCAAAATCGAGTTGAAAATAAAGTTTTGCAGCATCAAAATGTGTTAACATTTCAAGGTGGGCATTTTTTATGCACCTGAGTGCTTAAAGCAGAATATATCATCAGTTCTACTGTAATTCTGTCCGCAGCCTAGATGAACATCTATTACAACTTTTCCTTAGTACTGATGTATCAAAATCTTCGAATACCACCCAAACAGTAATGTGACACAGTGAAATCCACCCAAAAGCAACTTTTGTCAGACAATCTGTATTTTTTGAAAGTACTTTTCTGGCAGAATACGAATTTGGAAAGCAATGTATCAAATTTCATTTAAAAAACCTAACTCTGATATGCCCCGACTCTATTGGGTCTCCTGTATATTGTTGAATAATTTTTGAAAAATTCAATATACATGAAATTAAAATTTGATAACTTCATTTCTTCACCTTGATTGCCTTGAAAAATCTTTCATTATGGTCATCATTTTTTTATCATTTTTTTCGGAAGAACTCTATTTTTTTTATTGAATGACTTGAGACTATTTAAGTAGGTCAAACGTGATGTTATAAAGTTGTTCAATTGTATCTCTCATTTCTTTTTACAGAAATGCAAAATTTTTGTCTACAAAGAACCCTTTCTCGAAGAGCACAGGTCACATCGCTTACACAACTCTTCCACGTCTCGACGGCAATTGACCCAATAGTACTTCTCGCGCAATCTCGCTAGATTCTTATTTACTCCGAAATGCCCTCCAGTGCGACCATCGTGAAGCTGTTCAAGAATACTCGGGATACACTTCCTGGAAGGATCATCTGGAATTTGTGGGTTCTTCCATCCGGGCTTTCCCATTTCCGAGTGAGTAGGTCATCTGGAAAACTCATGAAGTCCCACTGGAGCCAGCAACCCTTTTTCCTCTGGCCGAGCTTGGAAATCTCGCTCCTTTGGTAATCTACTCTCGTACAGTTTTCAAGACGGGATCCTCCTTCTGCGCTACGATGATGTCTTGCCTCGTCAGGAAGGTAGTGTCACCCTCAGAGGCTGTTAACAACCGTACCACACCATGGTCAGGAGATTCCTCAAATTGACTGTCCGTACACCTACAAGGGGTACGGACAGTCAATTTTTACCTTACAGGTTGCTACCCTCCGGGTCAGAAGGAACCCAAAGCGGCGGGAAGTAAGGGGAGCTTATTTCCTTATTAGAACTGTCCATAAAGGAGTCTCTGCCCGCTACATTATCACTTCTGGTGTGAAGTTCTTCTTCTGGTAGCTGGGCATCCTTGTCCCCCTGGCGTTGGCAAAATATGTATCCGGATGTCGGACATGGTCTACTTGAGAGGCTATCTGCGTTTCCGTGACTTTTTCCTTTCCGAATCTTTCAAGCTCCTCTTCAAGTTTCCTTTCAATCCCATCAAATTCTCATCGACTATTTGTTCCAATCCCTCCTTTGTTTCCTGAAATACTTTTTCAAATTCTTCCCGAATCAATTCCTGTACCTCCCTTTTACTCACTTGGGAAGATTTCAAATTCTCAAATAAATGAAGGTACATCTTAATGCCTTTTTCTTGTTTCTTCTGAATATTTACCAATAACTTACGATATTCCTCTCTG